CCCTTGTAGGGTTCCACCCTGGGATCCCACCCTGTGCCTTCATGGACCTGGCTCCATGGCTGTCCTGCGAGTCCCCCAAGACACCACAGGGCCCCTCTGTAGCTTCCCATCCCCAGGGAGGTGGCACCTTGAGAGAAGGCCTGGCTTATATGGGATAGCCTTCCCTCCGGAGAGAGCAACAGAGGAAGGCTGGTTCGGAAGAAGCCAGTCGGACCTGAGAGGAGCCCGCCACACTGGCTCCTTGGCGCGCTGGGCCAGGCTCTCAGAAGAGGCTGGTCTTGGTGAGAGCAGAAAACCGCACCAGAGCTTCAGGCCTGCCCCCTATAGGCCATCCAGTCCAGCTGTTGCCAACCAGGGTGGGAGAAGCAGCCCCCTGCCCCCGCCCAGGGGGGCTTCCCGAGTGATGGAGAGGCAGCGACCCCTCTCCCCTGTCAACAACCCCTCCCATCACAGCCCCACTTCTGCCTTGGACTTCCAAAGTGGTGTTGTTGCAGGTAATTAAAGGGTTTTAATTAAATTAGGATCCCATCTGGCTGGGATCAGTCAGGCCCTTAACGAGAATTGTGTGTCACCAACGTCAGCGTGTGGGTGGGGGCCTCAGACGGGCGGCCAGGGCTGACTCGGGGCACTGGAGGCCTTCAGACAGGATAGAGCCCCTTGAGGGCAGCCAACAATGCAGCTGCCACTTGTTCCAACAACAAATGGGAGCTGAGGGCCTCCGTGCTGGGGAGGGAGAAAGGCCAGGGGCTCCCCAGTTGGTCCTGGCCAGGGAGCCTCCAGAACCTCCGGGATGTGTGGCAAGCATCTCTTCAGTACTCAGCTGAGGAGCCGAGGCTCACAGTGGCAAAGAGCTTGGATACACCTCTTGAATCAGAACAAGAAATGGAGACCCCAAACCAAACTCACCACGACAGAGCCCATCCCGACTCATAGCACCCCGTGGGAGAGGGTAGAACCGCCCCCGAAGGCCTCGTTTTTCTCCCATGGAGAGCCTGGTAGTTTCAAACTGCCGACCTGTGGTTAGCAGCCCAACGTGCAACCCCCTGTACCATCGGGGCTCCTCGTAGAGGCTTACATAAGGGCACTTGGAAGTCCAAAGGGAGACTTTCTATCTTGACATTTTCAGGGACCAAGACTTCTTGCAGCTTATTGTTCTGCTCCCTCTCCGAGGTCACTCTCAGCCGCCAAAGTGCTAGTGTCACCGACTTAGAGCAGGCCGCCGGTGGAGGATGGCACCCAAGGGGGAAAGGGTGTCCATCGAGGGCCTTAAATTCCTGGAAGTTTCCCTGTAGCCTCTTGGCTTCCATGTCCCAGTCCCATAGCCACACCGAGGTGCAGGGAGCCAGGGAAGTGTGCTATGTACTGTAGACAGCTCCGGGGACCCTGGTACTGTGGAGAAAGCGAATGGGCATCACAGAACCACGAGGAGCCTCTGCCACTGTGATCCTGAGGCAGCCCAGGGCAGGGGGCCAGGACTCGAGCCCCAGACACGCCAGGAACAGCACCAGGCTCAAAGAGACATAACCCCCCCCCAAAAAAAAAGTGACAAGAACAAATATCCATTCTTGAGCAGTTCGTATCCCCCCCAACGATGCTCCCAGCTCCAGAGACCCTTAGCTTCACGTACAAGGAAACTCAGAGGCTTTGTCATTTTCCCTAGGCTTCCCAGCTAATGAGTGAGAGACCTAGGATTGGGACCTATGTGTAGCTTCCTGCAGCACCCAGTGTCAGCTTATTGGCAGCCTCTGTGGCTCAGGTGCCAGCTTATCCCTCCAGACCACCTGGAAGCCCTTGAACTTAGCTTCCTTTGCCTGTGTTATTATCAGACCAGCCTGGGAGCTTGGGAGCCCAATAGGAAACGGGAACCTTGTGGAATCAGAACCCACCCCACTGGCAGGTCCCCTCTGACATGTGCCTTGGCATTGGTGGCACAATTGCCACTCCCTGGCAGGGCTGGTGGTGTCTCTCCCTGAGCCTGGCAGGGAGGGCCACAGGGCTTGGAGTCTGCGGAAGTAGCAGTTTTTTCCCCCCACTCCCAGCCAGGACACTGGCTGGCTTCCTGAGAGAGCAAAGGGGCCCTTATATCCTCCACAACCCCCCTCCGCGTGCCCACTCCATGACCCGGGTCCCTGGGCACCCCATGACCTTCAGCTGCTGCCACCTTCAAAAACATGATGCCCCCGCCTTCCCACCCACCCACCTTGTGTAGCTCTGAGCAATGGGCCTCTCCGCAGAGCCTGGCACATGCAAGGTCACCAGCAGCCTGCGAGGAGGGGGAAGGGTGACTCAGTTCCGCTTGCTCATCCTGGGAAGGCCAGCGAGCAGTGGGGTGGAGAGGGACTCGGCACCGATCTCTTTTGCCTTAAAGGCTTCAGGAAGGAGACAGCAGGGCTGCCTGTTGGCCGGCAAGGCATTCCTTTTATGGCAGAGTGGGTTACATGCTGCTAACCGCAGGGCTGGCAGTTCGACCCCAGTTCAGTGCGTGGGAGGAGGCGGCGGCTTTCTGCGCCCAGAAAGGTTCAGAGCCTCAGAAACCCGCAGGGCGAGCTCTGTTCTGTCCTGCTGCGTCCCTGAGAGTGTGAATCGACTCGATGTCAGCGAGCTTGGTTTGAGTTTCATTAGCGACGCAGCGGAGGCTGCTAGGAAGTGAGCCAGCCGCCTGAGACAGACAGGGGCTCTGAGGTCAGAGAGCAAGCCTGTGTGCCAAGCTGACTGGAGGGGCAGAACCCACCTCCAGGCATGCTGGCTGTCGGAGAGGAACAGACGTTCACCTCCTTCCTCCCTTTTACAACTCGTGCCCTCTGGGAGCCTCCAGTCGGACAGAGGAGGCCCTGGCCAGGCAGAGTAGCTGAGGGTCAGAAGGGGGGTTGTGGGGGGAGTGGGTGGGGGGGATATACAGCCTGGGGAGATTCTAGCAGCAGCAGGGTAGAGGGGAGAGGGGAGGCCGCACGGTTGGGGTGCAGGTAAGACCTAGAAGAGGGCATGAATCACAAGTAGGCCTTCAGAGGCCCCACAGTGCTGTGTGGTGACTGGAGGTCCCCGGGGCACGCCATCAAAACTGCTTACCAAGGGCAGCAAGGTTGGCACCCTCGAAGCCAGAGGTGGCGGGGTAGCCTCCTCCACTTTTACCAGCAAGGGCCCAGGAAATACCGGGGACCACATTGGAAGGAGATGTGCTCCCCCAATCCTGGCTGAGAAGTTGCTGAGGAAGACAGGCTAGCGGGCCGAGCCGCAGTGTGTATGTGTGTGTGTGTCTGTGTGTGTGTGTGTGTAATGAAGTTATTAGGATGGACCTGCCCCCTGCGAGGACAGAGCTCTGTGCCAGGTAGGCCTGGCTCCCCAGCTGTCAGAAGCAGCTGGCTCTCCTCGTGAGGACCGTAGGTCAGAGGGGCTCCTGCGGGCAGTTCAGCCAGGACAAAGGGGCGGGAGGCCAGGGACCAGGGCCACCAGCACTGGTGTTGCTGCTCTTCCTTCAGAGCCCACAGGACGGACTGGGGGAGGGCTTCTGGCAGGTGCGGGGGCGGGGCTGGGGGCAGTTCTGCAGGCAGGAGGAGCTCCAGATGCCAGTAACCCTTGTGTCATGGACCGCTCTGAGAATGATGCTTTCGTGGGGTGGGGGTGGTATGGAAGGGGGGGTGTTGTGGGCCTAAATGTCTGCTCTGGAGAGACAGGCCCAGGACACCTGGTGGGGCGGGGTGAGGGCGGGGTGGAGTTGGCAAGCAGCAGAATAGGAGAGCTGAAGCCCTCGCCTCTCCTGGGGCACTTTCTGCTGTGCGGGACAGCAGCAGGGCATGTCTCCGCCCCCTGCCCGCTGCCCTGCAGGGTGCAGGTGAGATCCATGACTCCATGATGAGGCTGCTGGGTGGGGGGGCTGACCACACACCTTCCCATCATTCCTCATGCCATCCTGAGAGTAGCCTCCTTCCAACAACCTTCAGAAAGGGGACTTGAAGCTTAGGATTGCCTATGCCTCCCTCCCACCCCCCTTCCCCCCCCAACCTCTCCCAGCCCCAAAGGGCGAGCTCCAACCTAAGTCAGGTGCCACCTGCAGAAATCCAAAGTCTTGAGCTCCCTCTCCTCCCACTTGGGGCCATCTCCTAGCCCCTTTCAGTGCCCACCTTACCCTGACCTGTTTGTTCCCCCACTAGCATGCGGTGGGACTGAAATCGCAATACCAGACTCTCAGAAATCGCCCTTCCCCAGGACAAACGACCCCTGCAGGGCCAGGGGAATGACAATAGGGGGCGCGAACATGAGGCAGGGAGGACTGGAGATCCTCTGAGCATGGCCCAAAGGAGATGGGCTGAGCAGAACCAGCATCTCCCAGATTCTCACTAGAAATGCTAATTCACAGGGCCACCCCCAGACCGACAGCATCGGAAACTGGCTTTCACACCACCGCCTCCTCCGGGGGATTCTGAGGCACTCTGGCGCTGGGAACCACAGTGCGAGGCACAAAGGTATGTGGCTAAGTGCTTGGAGGAGGCTCGGACTCACCTGCAGCTGCCCAGCAGGAGAAAGGCTGCCAAGGGAAGCCTTAGAAATCCTAAGGGGGCAGTTCTACTTGGTCAAAAGCCAATCACCAGCAATGGCTTTTCGGAACTAGACAAGCCCGATTTTAGAGAGGAAGAGGCAGCGCGAGACAGAATTAGGACATCTTCTGTCCCTCATCTCTGACCACTGCCTGCTGCCAGGCCTACCTGGGTGGCAATGCATGGGGGTGGTGGTGGTGGTGACACTGGGCCTATTTAGCTAAATCCTGCTAGGGAGCTTTCTCCTGGGGAGGCTCTTGCTGATGCCAGTATCTCCTCCTCCCCACCCCACCCCACCCCCCATCGCATAGCAGCACCTAACTGCTTTTGCTGGGGTTTTCCAGGGCCAACCAGACAGCCTGGGAGGGGACTGGAGAGGAAACTCTTAAGGCCGTATGGCTCTGGGGCCATCCGCGACCCGCTGGGGAAATGCCGGCCGCACTGGGAATGCAAGGCTGGGACCTGCCCTCCTGGACGGCTGGGACTGCAGTGCCCCACCAGAGCTTTATTACTTGCTCCCAGAACAAGAGTCTGCAAACAGAAGTCGGCAAGCAAGGCAACATCACAAGACGTACCTCCCCCCACCCCCCTGCCCAGACAGACAGACACTACAACAGATCCAGTACCTTCCCACAGTCCAGCTCACCCAGCCCCAAGCTGCTGAGGGCCCCATGGGGGGAGAGGAAGCCACAGCCCAGTTCTGGGGGAGCCCCCAGTGTGATAGGCAAGGCTGACTATGGAGGGACCACTCTGGGTCAAGGAATTTCCAGAGGAGCTAGCAGGGGGTGGAGTCTGGGAGGGACACAAGGCACCCCTAGGGGCTCCCACCTATGGCCACTGGGGCTGGGAGGACCACAGCTGCCCTGTCTCAGCTCAGGGACAGAGGCTGTGTGAAGTTGGGGAGCACTGGCAGAAGAAGGAGTTTGGGAGAAGGGTGAGGTGGCCGGAGGCAGGTGTTCTATTTGTTAAGACATCAAAGACCCCAAGGGTCACCATGTGGACTGGGCTAGAGAGTGCTTCCTGCCCCCAGCTCACCCCTGACTCTCCGGAACCCCAGTCTCAGCCATTCTTAGTTGTCCCTTTTTCTGGGGGGCTGTCCTTTCTCAGGATGGCAGGGAGGGAGCCCAAGTGCTAGGTGCCTTGCCATGCCTACGCTGGTCTTCTTGCCCCTGGGACCTCCTGGGACCAGCACTTCCTGTCCTTCCACGTGGAAAGATCCAGAAGGCAGCACCTCTGCTGTAGATGCTCCACAACCTCAGGCTGGGACCAGCGTGTGGGGCCCTTTCTCTGCCACTTGAGACTTGGCCCTGGATCCACTCGGCAGCTTCTCCTCTCCACCCCCCTCCCTGCCCAGTTTCCACCTAGATGGCCCCCTATCTGGGCAGGCCCGCCCTCCAGCCCTGGCCTGGCCTCGGTGACCTGCCCGGTGTCACCCAGAAGGATAGTAGGGGGTGTTGCTGTGGTAGTTGTAATCTGGGCACACCTTCTGCACCAGCCGATAGTCTGTGCTGTAGAAGGCAATATAGACGCAGACGACTTTGAAGGGCTGGGAACAGCTCCAGGTAGCGGAGCTCTGGGCGTGATCGCGAGAGCAGATCTTGGCTGGGTCGTGGGTACAGAGAGAGGTCCAGCGGCCCCGCTCCACCTTCTCCCACTCCATCCGGCAGTTGAAGATCTTGGAGGCCTTGGCTTCGATGAAGATCTGCTGCTCCTGGTGGAACTCCACGGCCTTGCTTGGGGGCACCAGACTGATGGAGATGTTGCCCTGGCCCGTGGCGTTGTGTCGGAAGTAGACGCTGAAGGTCCCGTTGCCATGGTCCACGATCTTCCCTGTGACCAGCAGGTTGAGGGCTACGGTCTTGATATTGGAGTAGAAGTCTCCCCAGCCAAAGATTTTCTTCACTTTGGCTGAGGGCGGGGGGCTATGGTTCGGGCGATTGGGGGGCTGCCCCAGGACTCCCCATGCCTCCCCAGGTGGAGCCAGCAGCCCCAGGAGGGTGGAGTTGGCCAGAGGGCGGGCCTTAGGTGAGAGGTGGCCCCGCTTCCTAGGCACCCGGGGCCGGGGATGACTCTCGGGGTCATCACGCTCAGAGTCCTCTGAGCCAGGGGGACCATCATCCTGGCCACAGATGACCTGTGGAAGGAATGGAGAGAAGAGTGAGCCCTGTCCCCAGAGAGCTCAGATCCCAGCATTGTGGCCCTCCTTGTCCTCTGACCTGGCAGTGAGGCGCCCCTGCACACCGCTGGGAATCAGCCACGCACTCACGTCTCTGTGTCCCGGTCCCTTCTCGGGCTTCTTGGGCTCCTCCCCTCCCCACTCTCCTGCCTCAGTCAAGACTATGTTCCAGCACCTCGTTCCTAACCCCAGGGGGTCCCCAGTGGAGGCTCAGCTTCTGATCTTGGGAGGAGCCCAGACTGATGGCTGAGGCATCACCCCTGAGTTGAGAGAGCCCCAATCTGATGGGAGAGGTCGAGCCCTGGGCTCTGTGAAACTCAGGCTGGTGGGGGAGGCTCAGCCTCTGCCCCGGCGAAGCCCTCGGTCAGACAGCCTCATCCCGGGGAGCTCCAGCCTGACAGGAGAGGCACAGCCCAGTCTTCCGAGACTTGCTTCCCTGGTAGTAGGGGCACTACCACCCCAGCTTAGTGTCCACCCCCAGACTCAAAGGGAATCCACAGACAGTGACGCCACCGAACCCACGGGTGCGCTTTCCAAGGGACTGAAGGGGGCCTGAGTGGGCTCCACATGCAGGATGGCAGAGGGGGTGGACAGCCAAACAGCTTCGGACACATCGAACCTTCTCTTGCATTATGAGGCCAAGTTGGGATTGCTCCCATTTTGCAGGTGAGGGCAACAGTTACCTCATGTCAAGGCTCAGGTCCCAGAGGGACCCAGTCGGCCCGCCGGCACCCACCTCCCACCGCACTGCCGGTACTGGCACACTCCAGCCTCAGCCCCAGACCCAATCTCCGGTGAAACACCCTCTGGGCTCCCCTGTCACAGGCTATATTTCTGGAAGCTTCCTAAAGAACTGTGGAAGACCTCAGATGGCCTAACCCAGCTCAGACATCCAGGGCTTGGGTCGGGGGTGGGGGTGGTGATATGTGTGTGTGTACCACGGAGCTGACCAGATTTCCTGAGGGCAGCACCACGGTGTATGTAGAAGAGTCCGCACCCTCTGTGTCTGTGTGACCAGACCCAGAGCCAACAACAACTCACAGGTAGGTGGGCAGTGCCTCTCATCACCCCCAACCCCGCCCTCAGGAGGGTGAGAGAAGGCCTGTCGGGTTTGAGGCCTGAGGAGATCCTAAGAAGCGCTGGGTGCTTCTGGCCCCTGTTTGTGACCCTGGCCATGCCTTTAGGTGTGTCTGCAGCCTTGGGGCTAGCGACCTGGCTCCACCGACCTGTGTGCGCCAGCCCTGGGGTCCGGCTGCACAAGAGACAGGGGACCAGCAAAGAGACACCGGAGGGGCCATGGGAGGGAAGCTTCCCGAACACAGTGGACTAGGGGTGAAGGCAAAGGGGACTTTTGTTTGGGGAGAGGCGCCGACCAGATGTAGGGGCGGGGCGCTCCTCCTGGACGCGGCTGTGTGTGTGTGTGTGTG